TCCACCTGCCTACGCCTTGGTCTTCCCACTGATCTCTTTCCTTCTGGCTTTCCCACCAATAGCCTATACACATTCCTTTTCTCCCCCATTCTTGCTACATGCCCTGCTCACCTCATCCTCCTTGACTTGATTATTCAAATTATACTTGGAGAAGAGTACAAGTTATGAAGCTCCTCATTATGCAGTTGTCTCCAACCTCCTGTCACTTCATCTCTCTTCGGTCCAAATATTCTCAACACCATTCTCAAATGCCCTCAGTCTATGTTCCTGCCTTAATGTCAGAGACCAAGTTTCACATCCATACAGAACCACAGGCAAAATTATAGTTTTGTATATTCTAATTTTTACATTTTTAGACAGCAGACAAGAAGAGAAAAGGTTCTGGACTGGATGGTAGCAAGCATTACCCGAGTTCAATCTCCTCTTAATTTCCTCCTGAATCAGGTTTTGATTTGTTACAGTCGTTCCCAAATATCTGACCTGTCCCACATTTTCAAAACATCCGTTTCCTACTTTTATGTCATGATTCTTCCCTGCATTTTGGTGACAAGACAGCAACATATACTCAGTTTTCTCTGTGTTTACTTCTAGACCAGCCTCCTTACTTGCGTCAATTATAGTTTGTGTGTTTTTCTTTATGGTATCTATATTATCACCCAATAGATTCACATAATCAACAAAGACCAACAGCTGATGTGTCCCGTTTAATATCAGTCCCACCTGGTTTTCCTGGACCGCCCTAATGGCATATTCTAACACAAAGTTGAAAAGGAGCGGCGATAAAACATCTCCTTGGTCTGGTCTATCTTTATAGCTTAAAGAATTTAATGTGATATTGATCAAGGTTATTTATCAATAAAAACAAACATTAAAACCAACCTCAAACTAAAACGCCATAACCTCCTTGTATCTGAGGCCACTGAGCAGTCTTGTACCTAGGGCCATGGTCCAAGGCATATATATTAAACTAGATGTATAACTTAAGCCACTGTTACAGTAAGTCCAGCTTTTCCTTTGTTGTTTGCAATTAATGAACAAATGGCCATTGTTATTCAAAAGCTTCCATACATGTTTCATTAATAGAAACATTACAAAAATGTGAAAGGAATAAAATATTAGGTAGAAGTTCTATGTTTGGAGAATGCATAGAAGTAAAGATGCATGCGAGAAACCACCAATATCCATACAAAATCTTGCTTTGTCTGTCGAAGCTATTCATAAAGCTGAAGTAAAACAGTTTTAGTGTTGCATGCATAAACCTTCGGACATATCTTGACGACCATGACGACGACGACGACAATGATGATGATGATGATGATGATCAACAGCTCTCCTACTGCAATAAATATGCTGTACGGATGGTATTCTCATCAGACAACAAAGGCAAGTTGATAGACGATACTACCACAGCTAACCATATTCATTATGGACTAACACAGAAAGTAGTAATGGAATCAGCTCATGAGCTTGCAAAGCAACTCATAAAAAAGTACCCTAACTCGAGGGATGTGAATGGCCAAGCAGGTGTAGAATGGATCACTAATTTTACTATAGAAAGAAGAAATAATCCCTCTAAAGTTAGCAAACAGGTGGGCCATGTGACATCTGGAGAGACAAGAGTCAATGGATGTGTTAATGCTCTTGGAAATTCAATCCATTCAGTCTTAATATTCCCACATAATCACTCCAACAAACCATATGTTGATCAATGCACCACCTGGGCTTCAGTGGCTATTCAAAGGGGGAGAAATTTGTCATGTGAAACCAACGAAAGACTGCTGAGTGCTTCTGCTCTTAGCCAATCTTGAGGGCCCAATCTCAGTATTAGCAATGCTGACATTTCCTCCTCATACCTGCTTTGGCCTATTTAAAAGATTGTATCAATGCGGCAAGCAGCAGCAATGGCTGTTGAGCAACCCAGGGAAACCTATCTCTGCGTATAATAATGCTCACCTAACTGGCCTGCCATACCCAAGAACTCTCATTTCATCTAATATCGAGTCTGGATTTTGCATTACTGACTTGTGGCCTATAAATTCTGACATAATTCACAGGAGACAAGCTTAATAACTCCATTAACTTTATTATATTTCTAAACAACCCTCTTGCAGATCCATCCCACTTACATGAAGAAATTAACCTGTGTGTGTGTGCATGTGTAAAATACATCTAATAATTCTGGGGGCTGGGTTAGCGTAGTGGGTATAGCAACTGGCTACGGACTGGACGATCGAGGGGTCAGAGTTTGATTCTCGGTAGGGTCAAAAATTTTCTCTTCACGTCATCCAGACTCCTTCTGGGGCCCACTCACCCTCCTATTCAATGGGTATCAGGGTCTCTGCTCCCGGGGGTAAAGCAGCTGGGGCGTGAAGCTGATTACTCACCTCCAACTAGTACCAAGTTCAAGAAAGTGTGGACCTATACATTCCACTCCCAATACGCCTTCATGTTGTAGTGCGTAATTAGTTACACAAAGGGACAACTTTACCTACATCTAATAACTATATTTAAGATGCAAGTCACATGATCAACAAAACTGTCATCTCTGCATGCACAGATTTCATACATTTATACAAAGCAAATGTCCACTTTTCATTTGAACATAATGTTCTTTTCATAAAAATTCAGTCATCAGTGCTGCCAACTGCGATTCTAGAAACGTAAATTGAAACCCTTTATCCCCTTAAAAAAAGTTTCCCGTGCATAGTTTTCCAGTGTTTATTACATGACACCGATTTCACCTAACCCTCTTAAAGCATGAAGTACTTACATGTACTGCATACGTTAACATTTGAATTTCCCCCCCCCCCCCAAAACAAAACTTCCACAATCAAACCCTTACACCTTTCCTTCCAACCNCCCCCCAAAAAAAAAGCTGCCACATTCAGACCTTGACAATTTCCTTCCAAACCCTTTTCAATTCAACACTCATCAATCCTCCAATTTGGTACTATATGGTGTTGCTGCTGGCCACACTGCAAAAATCTTCATATACCAACACTACAGAGCTTCCCACCACAGCAGCCCAGGTTCAATCCCGGATCTGGTCAAGTGGGATTTGTGGTGGACAAAGTGGCTCTGGAGCAGGTTTCCTCTGAGTACTTTGGTTTCCCCTGCCAATCTTCATTCTGCCAACTGCTCCACAATCACTCTCACCTATCATCTGGGGCTGGTACAATTGGCCAGAAGTGGTCGCAGTACATGGGGCTTACTCCCAACCCACTAGTAAAAAAAAGAAACACTACAGAACTCTGCATTCCAGCCTCACAATGTATAAACAGTGACCCTTTCCCTGAACAGCATTAACTGGTTGGGCTTTGTAGTGGAGACCTAATGTGTTTCCTGTGAGGTACAGACTGGATTCCTATATATTATTTGGAAGTGTATCTGTGTGTTCCCTATGGTTCTCACAATAAACAGCGACTGTTTCCCCAAACAGCATTAACTGGTTGGGCTTTGTGGCGTTGACGTAATGTGTTTCCTGTGAGGTACAGACTGGATTCCTATATATTATTTGGAAGTGTATCTGTGTGTTCCATATGGTTCTCACAATAAACAGTGACTGTTTCCATAAACAGCATTAACTTAATTGGTTGCTGTTGCAGAGAGACAGTGCATTTTCTGTGAGGTAGGAGTTGAGCTTCAGACTTGGAAAGGTTAAGCTGTCTGTATTTCTGCTGGCAGCTCTCAGCTGTGGTGTGCATAACAGTCCTGTCTTACTGCTTTCATTATCTTGCAGTCAAGGATATAGGCCACTTGTTGACACATTCTGGCCTCACTCAACCAGCAGTATCTATCAAAGGTCTTCTTTGATCCACATGCTTGGAATTCTGTAGCAGTTTAAGAAGTCTGTGTGTCTTTGCCTGTTGTCAACTTGTTGAATCCAACAGGTTTTATATTTAAAAATGACAGCCCTATATAAGTTCTGCATTCAACTCCCATAATATGTCATTTCTTGTATGGTCCATCCAAGAGTATTTCAGCATCTGTCTCACTAATGTCATGTTCATTATAATTTATTAAAACTGTACAATTTCTAACAAACTTCATCGGGAAAAATATCAAAATATTTTCTAATATTTACACAAAATCAATACATGCATCATCAAAACTACACATGGCATTTCACTATATACCCATTCATTTTTAATTGCTTACTTCCTATCTCATCTCTACACAGTAAGAAAATTATAAACTTCAAGTTTAGTCTCATTACATAAACAAAGCTGCAGGTTCACAATGTTCCTCATGGCATGGCCTGAATAAACAAGATCAACCATGCCATTCAATTCCTTCTGCACCCCAAAGTTTCACCTACCATACAACAGTTTTCAGACTGCCTTTATGAAAGAGCCAGGGCTAACAATGTCCTTTCAGTATATACAATTCTCTCTTTGTAAAAAAGAAACCAAAGTCACAAAGCGTACTATGATTCCCAGCATTCTAATGAAAAGTAAACTGTTATGTAGTAAATACTGAAGGTACCAACATTGGACCTTCAGACCTCGTTTTATAATTTCTAACAGAATACAGTACAACTGTATTTATTAACATGCTAAAACGCATTAATCTTTAGAAACCTTACACCCCATCATCTTCATGGAAACTGGGTTTAAAGTATAAGTTTATGTATAATCCAAGTTTGAACAAATTTTGCCGTCGATTAGGCGTCTCTTTTTAAGACACAACAGTACAGCCCGTTCATTTTCCAACACTGACGTATTCCACATTCTCGTTTTTATTTTTAGGTTAATGACAATCACAAAATCTGAAGGTCAGTCTAAAGCTTTGTATCCCAAACACTTACATAAAACAGCGCCTTCTTTCTCCAACCAACTTCTAAAACTCAAAATCTGTCAACACACAACCCATTTTACATTACGGACTAGCCCACACATTTGATTACATTACGAAACCCAGGACTTTTGACATACGAAACTCTTGATTGACTTGTAGTCGTACCATGTGCTTTAGATTATTTGTTATATCTGATTACTAACCTTTCTGCTAACCCCGAAGATGAATTATCCATGGTATTTATATTATAATTTTACCGATGCAATTCAAACATTTCCAATTGAAAGACATAAAAATCACTTCACTTCACTCACTAGTCACTACTCACGACTTATCCAAATGAAATTAAAATATTAACCGCACATGACATATCAAATTTCACACGTGGACAGCCACAAATCCATCACTAATACGATATAAAAGGCACGTTATCAAAAACAAATACAAAGTCGTACATCATACAACAACCAACAAGTGTCAGCCATCTTGAGCACAATGTCTCTCCCACAATAAAATTCCTTTCCCCTTCTTCCACAATAATTAGTACGAGATATTATGTCAGTATTGAAGTAACTTATACAACACGCGGGAGTAATAATACATTTATTTATTCACCATCTGGATGCTACATGTTATTTATTGCTCATATCCCATGACAAATACGAACACTTTGCTTTTGACGTTTCATGCCCATTGAATGGCGGAAGGTTACATAACACCAAGCTATAATGTGTTGGTATGCTAACAGATGGCAGGACAAGCTACGCATGCTGAGCCATAGTTGTTTGAACTGGATTCATCCATAGTTACTTAGTTTCAACTTAGTTTATATATATCACAAAAGAAAGACTAAACGAACACTAAACGAACTAAACGAACGCTACTTGTTTCATAGATAATTTAAGTTAAAAGGCGCTTCTGAATCTGTGCAATGTAATACGACTGTAAAACTCGCGCACTGGCTGTGGGAATATCATATATAGACTTATCAATAGCGCCACAACACGGCCAAATAATATGTAAAAACTTCCGTTTCAACTCGACATATGGAAGCACCCATATCAGCACCAAATGAACACTCATTCGCATTAAAATCAGCTGCTAAAACTCAGACCTTTAATTACTCTGTAGAAGGCATAGCTATCAGAATAAGTGCGTGCCACCAGGATTTCTTCCTGCTGTCGCTGGATTTGCATCTAAACTTACGTTCAAGAGGACCGCGCTATAGCTAAAGCTGGTATCCCACAGTGGCGTCCCGGGTTCGATCCCGGGCCTGGTCAAGTGGGATCTGTGGTGGACAAAGTGGCGCTGGGACGGGTTTTCTCCGAGTACTTCGGTTTCCCTTGCCAATCTTCATTCCACCAAATTCTCCATCATCATAATCACCCGGGGCAGGTNTTTATCCCAGTTACCGTGTTTCATATGCTTGTATTTTACTGTCAGCCACTGCATTGATTAAATAAGATGATGCTTGTTTATTCTTTATTACATGCCGTGATTTTTTATGTACAACAATGTTGTATTCTAAGAAATTAAACGTAAATTATTTACCCACAGTTGTTGTTATATCATAGTTTTCATTATTGATATGGTTTTATTTTTCTCGCATCTACACGGCTTCCTTGATATACTTTGATATACTGGTACCGCATGCCTCCCATATACGAGTATATGCCACTCCCATCCGCTAGAGCGACGTAACCTAACGAAGCACATGACACGAAAAGCGGCAGGAGAACAATGGCCGAGGTATAACAGATTTCGCCCTGAATTATATTTGTTTATTCCATTCAGAAATGAACGTACACTGCAGTATTTGGTTTAATAAATTAATAATTAGCCGGTCACGATAGCCGAGCGGTCTAAGGCATGCACTGTCTTCGCTCGCTCGGAAGCCGGGATCGTGGGTTCGAATCCCACTCAGGGCATGGATGTTTGTGTGCGTTTTTCTGTGTTTGTCTACAGGTAGAGGCCTTGCGACGAGCTGATCACTCGCCCAAGGAGTCCTACCGTATGTGTAAGACCTAGTAAACCGAAGTGAAACGGAGAGTTTCATGGAGGTAGGCCTAGGCCCAAATTGGGGCTGCAGCGCCACAAGAAAAAAAAATAATTAAGTCAAGTTGTTTTGGCCTTTAATCGACCTTCAGGTTATATAACCACCTTATGGTAAGGGACGAAATTTCAAGTTAACCTTAAAACCCACAGTTACGTAAATATGCGTATTATTAAACGGAGATATTACTTTGCATCTTCCAGCTATTGGTATTTTGTTTCGCATGAGAATATAACTTAGTATTGTTGCAGTTAAGTTGTGTTGCTAAGAAAACTCAATTTAAAATTTTTAAAGAGATGATATAAAATATCATCCCTTTTAATAACTCGGCTCATCACACTTGAAGATAGCCTATAGGTCGCAACATGTAGCATGAAGTAATCGGCTATTGATTAAATTATATGCTACATCAGGCGATACTCTCTGGGTGTGGATTGTTACTTACCCCGCGAGCTTCTTAGTATCCAAAACTTACAGCTCTGAATTGTACGATGACAAATGGTGAACTGAAGGTAAATCGAAAGAAACGGTAGTGACAGAATCGCAGTACTATCCAGGCATTTATTTTATTGAAGGGGCTGAGCACTACCACGAAAAGTCTTAATCTGAACAGATGCTGTTCCGGCCGATATTCGAAATGAAAACCTCCCGAATACGAGTATAGAGCTTTCCCGCTACGCTAACCAGCTCCATCTCCATGGATGGAACTATGAACACTACAACAGCAATAATGACTTCTGTAAATCTGCATTTGGTTAGTGTTTTCTTAACTACGCTCTCAAATGTTGCGACTTCATTGTGTCGAATCGATGGATAAACAAGGTAAAGCTGTTTCTCTGCTTAATTAATTTAGCACTAAGCCATGAAGAAGTATGGAGGAGTGGATGTATAGATCCGTGTATTCTTCATCTCGGCAACATATGGAGATTCGTGGTCAATTTCACGCCCCGGCCGCTTTTAGCCACGGGGAAGAAATCCCCGGTACTCTTCGGATAGAAGGCTGGTGTAACCTAGAGCCGGTCTGAGAGCTGTAGAGAAGAAGGATATATTACCCTTGCAGGATATCGAACCTCAGTTCCTCGGCCGTACATCCCGTAGCCCATCGCTATACCGACTGAGCTGTTGTGGCTGTGGTAACATGATCAATGAATAATTAATTGGAATGGATTTGAAATAAACCGGTGACGGCCTCGTTTGGATTGAGTGACTGAATAAAACGACGAAAGTCCTGAACCTCCGGAGTATCTGCGCGTGCGCCACTTTTAGCTGCAGATGGCCGATTGTTCTGTTGGCCCCCTACAGGCCTGTGACCGGTAGCTACAGTTGAGCAGTTGAATAATAGAGACTGGAGTATTTTATATAGCGATGGGCTGCAGACTGAAAGGATCGGGGTTCTATTGCGAAGCGAGGAAAAAGGGCGTCAGATCTGGCTCAGGGACCACCCAGACTCCTGTCTAACGACAAGTTCCCTCTTCCCAAGAAGGTTAAGCGGCTGGGGCATGAAGCTGACTACTGATCTCCAACTAGTCCTGAAGTTAAGAATGCATGAAGTTATACCTCCACTCCCCATCTGCGTTCATGTCATGGTCTTTCGGGAAGCAAGAACAACGGCATTTTTACCTTCTTATAAGTAAAGGTAAAGTTGTCCCTGTGCTTAACTAATTAAGCCCTAGGCCATGAAGGCGTATGGGGGAGTGGATGTATAGATCTACGTATTCTTGACCTCGGCACTAGTTGGAGGTGAGTGGTCAGCTTCACGCCCCGGCCGCTTTATCCCTGGGGAAAAAGCCTCCAGTATCCATTGGATAGACGGTTGTGTGGACCCCAGAGCAGGTCTGAACAATGTGGAGAAGAGAACATCCTTGACCCTAGAGGGACTCGAACTCCGACCCCTTAGTTGTCCAGCCCGTAGCCAGTAGCTATACTGACTGCGCTATCCCAGTTCAATGATATTTTATTAGATATCATCGTCTTCATTTTTATTAAATGATTACATTTATTATATTATTGTTGCCGAATTTGGGGGGAGGGAATTCGAGACTATATTTGAGACTTCTTATATCGCACTATTCCAAATTCTCATAATTCAGATATGCATAAATGTGATCTCACTCAGTATAATACGTATATATATACAGGTATATATGTATAAAGTAAAAAGTAAAGTAAAGGTATCCCTGTAACAGGCCGTGGAGGTCCATAAGGTTGTGAGATGTGGTGGTTTCCACGTTTTCTAGACAGTCTGCTCACAGATGACAGCAAGGTTGTCAGCCTTATGCGCTGGACGCTCTTTAACCCCAAGGATATTCTTGGTACTCATGTCTATTAGAGGCTGAGCTGACCCCAGCGCCATAGTGCAGCTGGAAGGATTAGAACATTTGAAAAAAAAAATCCAATGACCTCATCGGGATTCGATCCTGCCACCTTCCGGCTTGTAGCATAGTGCCTCAACCAACTATGCTACCACATGCCCCATGTGTGTGTATGTATGTATGAATGTATGTATGTCTGTATACAATATATGCATAAACAAATTAGGTAACGGTGAAATTGAAGCTCTAAAACTATGCAATTTCAGATTACCATATAAATGAATTTTCAAGTGAGAACAAACTGCAGGAATGTAAGTTATACAGTACGCCATGAACAAATGAGCAGTCTTACATTTCAGTGTATAGTGTCCATTCCGTGAGAAATGATAAGGTTATGAGGTGGAATGTTGAAGTGCAGTTGATCATGTATTATGACTGAGTTCATGAACATTTGGGAAGTTTATCTTTTTTCTTCATACCAAGTAAGCATAAAATGTTAATATAGACCTGTTCAGTAAAACCTGGACAATCAGGCTTGTTAGAAACACTGATAGGGTGGTCACCACAACATCGTGAGCATAAACTTGTTTACTGATGCAAGGTGTCCATTCAGTTACAGATATGCTGTCTCCCAACATTTACACAGTGAGGTGTTCCACAGTTCCCACATCCTGACAAATATCAGAATGAGCAAATCAACAAAGATGAAATAAGTAGGAAATGTGGCATGAAGCATTACAACCTCACTTTTATACAAATTACATTATTTTTCATACAGGCTACATAATCTGCCCTTTTCAAGCTCATTTAATGCATCATTCTAACATTGTTGCCTCTGACCTTACTGACCTTACCTCTCAGTCCATAATCTCATTGCACATAAAGGGAATCCAAATAGGAGAAATAATCAAACAGGATTGACACATCCGATTGGCTCAACAAACTAAATGGCCTGATTCCTTGTATTTCCTATACCCGCTGTTACTTTCAGTTTTCAAAATCATAGCTTCATCCCAACCTACCCTATCACCCCCTTCATAGGCATGTTGGGCTAATTTTGCTTTTCTAGGAGAAACTCTCTGAGATTGTGCCTAACTTCATAGAGCCACATGGTTAGAGGTCTCCCTGTTTCGTCAATATATTTTCTGCCACATTCACAGGGAACGCTGTACACATAGCGAGCTGTCAGTTGTAGATTTATTTGATGTCTGGCTCTCATGAGTGAACTTATGAGAATGTGTTTGGTTTTAAAGATGGTCCTAATGTCATATGATTCCCTACATGTTTCAACTTTTCTGAAATCCCCTTAACATATGGGATATACGTAGAGCAAGCAAAGAGGATTGTTTTCTTTAGTTGGATGTCTGTTACACTTGGATTCAGTAAACAGGTAAGTGAAAACTTTGGGATAACCACTGAGCTGAAGATCCCGTCTCAGGTTACCAATTACATTGAACATCTGAATTATTCCTTTTTTTACATGAAGAAGAAGATAAGGAGGAGGAGGATTATATTTGAAGATGAGATGTCGGACAGTGTGTTTTGGCTTTCTACATACGGCAGTGGCCAGTGCCATCCTTTTCTTGTTTTCCTGGACATCCAGAAGAGGAATGTGTATAATAATTCTTTCATTCTTCCAAATAGAAGTACTTATCTTATGGATCTCAGAACACAATATTTCACCTCCTGCTTGAACAAGTTTTGCTCGGAATTTGATCACTACCTGGCGATTTATAACATTTCAACTTTTCCATAGCAATTTCAACCTCAAAAGGGCTAGAGTCAGGTACTAATAGCTCAGCTGTTAGTATTTCTGTCTGCCTAACATCACAGACCCTATGTACATTCAATAACTGAGAGAAGTAGTTCCTCCACCTATTCAAAATGTTGTGGGAATCTGCAAGCAGATCACCATTCTCATCCTTCACTAAGTTACTGCTAGGCTGGTAACCCCTCTTAAAGTCATTTATTCCTCTATACAGGTCTCTAATGTTCTTGTTCTTACTGTTCATTGCAAGCTCATCAATTTTGTGTTTCAGATATTCTCTCTTTTTGTTCCTGAAATGCCTGCTTTCTTCACGTCTTATATTGTTCAGATTATCCCTATTTAACTTGCCTGGATTCTGTAACCACTGCAATTTCGCTTGTTTCCTTTGATCTGACAGTTTTGAACATCCTTTGTCGAACCATGGCTTATGCTGCTTTTATTCATAATAACATAAACCCTTTTTAACAGTTTCCAAAGTTATATTAGTAGCCACATCATTTTCTAAGTTTTCTAAAGCTGTGGATCTATTTCAGAGTTTAACCTGATGCTCTTATTTAAACCTCTGCCTTGTTTAGTTGCTTAAGATTAAACTTTTCCATATCAAATTTTGACATGCAATACAAACATTTATTCTATAGGCAGGGAAGCCCATGGGCTGGAATTTTGAGTTAAAATTCTTACTTGCTCTATATACTCATACATGTGACCTTGGAAGTGATGTTGGAAGATGACAGGGTATATTTTCTGTTTGAGTGTGATTTTGAATCAGTTCATATTGTTTCTTGAGCTGCCAGAATCATCAGCCTCGGGAGTGAGAGATGATCTCAAAGCTCTATTAATGGCATATTCAGTTCTAGTTAGTTTTATTTTAGTTTCACTTTGTTTCTTTTCAGGGGTTATGACAGCAAAATTTTCACCCTCCGCAATCTCGCCTATGTGTGATGTTTCTGAAGAGGCTCTTGCATGTAATGCAGCGTCCTGCATGCATTGCCTCACAATTTTAGCTCCACCCTGGGACCAGTGTACCTCTCCAGCCACTAATATGTTCTGATTGCCAGAAGGGGACACTACTGAAGCTGATGGGTTCTGACTATGTTTCACTTTAGTTGAAAGGTTTTACTGCTTGCCCATGCAGATGCATTTTCTTAATTTGAATTTTCAGATGAAGAGCAGATGGAATCGACACTCACTGGAGACTGCAGCATGTTTAGGTTTCTTGGTTAATACTGTTGATTTTCATAATAGTTCATACTTACTGATTTCTTCTGTTTCTTAAGGTAGCATTTAGGGGTGATAGTCCTCTGACATCCAAAATCCTTGCTGCAAAATCTAGCAAGTTTAGACTTCGCCATTTTGGCAGCTGCCATTTGGCCCACAAAATGGAGCATGGCGGGGAAGTGAAAACACTGACGCTAATGGGGGGGGGGGCCATGAACTAGAAGGAAGCATGAAACTGGAACAGATGCTTACTCAGTGATGACACTGATACTCCTATATATGTATTGCCATGTGTATGAGTGACTCTAGACATCATTCGGAGGTTGGATTTATTGACAACTTACAGGTCGTAATTACAAGTATCTATAACATTATCGATAATTTCCACACTTCACAAATCACTACAGCAGATGCTAAATCTTCCCAGTCTGCTGTGTCTTTATCAGACTTCTCCTGGTAACGGCTTCTAACAGTTGGGATTCTTCAATTGCACCGACAAAGTCTTCACTTCACAGACGCCCTTACATCTGACTGCCAAAAACTAACTTCTGAGGCTCTGAATCTCGTTTTACGACTTCTAAACTTATCCTTGATTTATAACATCTTGGCGCGGACCGCGTAGAAGAAACCATTCACCGTTGTTTCCATGCGAACGTGTCTGTTTGTGAAGGTGTTGCCCAGTAACGGTTGCGTATACTTGCTTATTAAGAATCTGTCCTCTAGTAGCGAATGTTTCATTGTTAGTTTCGAGGTCGTTATCCAGTAACGGGTATACACGCTACAGTATTTAGGCTGAAGTCCCCCCAAGCTTACTGCTGCAAGCTAGTGCCAATTCACCGATCTTGCAACACTGGTTAAGGGTGGAATACAAATACAGCAATATCTCGCATAGTCCGGGTAATCGGTTCCGCCAAAATCCCGGACTGTTTTAAATTGGACTAATCGAGGAACTAAATACATAAAATAAAATGATAATTGGTTCCAAAAAAATCTCCGTTTTTCAATAAATAAAACCCGATTAATAAATTCAAATGTCTTTATTAGAAATAATTTTAAAAAATCATGTTTTTCGGAATTCATTTTTTATTCTCTAAAAATTGCAATATTCATTTCTGCACATTTTTTATTTGGCCTTTTCTCTTCATATATTTATTTGTAGTAACGAACTGCATTGTTTATCGTTCGGCGAACTGTAAGGCTACGTTCAGTATTGGGATATGCTTCCATAATATGCTCTGACAAGGTTACAACCATTCCAATAATTTCCAATAGTTGTTCAGCTGTTAATTCTCGTGCAGGCACTTCAACACAGTCGTCGTTGTCTAAGTTGTCATCCCGTTCTTCATCTGTGTTAATAAGTGTTTAATTATGTAGTTCATTAGTGTTCGCTTTGCTGCACTCAATTATGTTGATGGAATCTGACTCATTGAAACCAAGTTGCTGTCCAGTTTCCACTATGTTATTAGTGACTTTAGAAAAATGAGTTTCAAAACCAATGAAATCATTTGTACGATGTGGTAAGATATGTTTCCATACTGCCCTCATATTGCTTGCCGTTAATTCATGCCATGCTTCGCCTATATTTTCGATAATGTTTCTGATGTTGTAGCTCTTCCAAAATTCCGTTAAAGTAGTGCTCTCCCCACTTCCTCCAGCGATAGTTGTCACAGCTCAAGAACAAATGACCCGAGCATAGGTACATATATATACAACGGGGAACCCCAGGAAAAATTGAAATATGTATCGTATCGCATAACTTTAAAACCACTTAAAAATAAATCGCACAAAACGAGACTTGACTGTATACAGGAAAAACGAAACCGATCATTTATGTATTAAAAATAATTTTGTGTACTAATTTTTTGGAATTTATTTCTATTTTGCTCAATTAAAATTTAGTTTGTTTTGAAATTTTCAAACCGGACTACAGTGAATCCGGACTGATCGAAGCCGGGCTATCCGAGATATTGCTGTACTTAAAAAATTAGGACCAGCCCAAATCTTATCAGCCGATTAGGGTGCGATTATGCTAACTAGCTTGGCGTTAGGCTTCTGCTGACACAGTGCCGCCGGTGGAGACCCCTTGGTCCCTTCACTTGTCTTCAGAACTACACGGTTTCCAGAAGCTCCCATGCCAGGCCAAGACAGTAGGTTTGGCCTGGGTTTAGGTCCTGCACTACCTGACGTCTCTTCTTGGAATGCTGAGAGGTACAGTAGAAAGTGGGTGAAAGTGAAAGTGAAAAAAAAACTGTATTGTGGCGAGAGAGAAACGGCATAATTTCGTTATAAGGTTCCCAGGCTTCGCCCGCTCGTCCTTCTGATAAAGGGGATGTTGTGGAATGAAGACTTTATAACGGTTAGAAGCAGTGGTTTGAGAAGGGGTCACGAGATTTTGATTTTCTGAATTCATGTCGAAGTACGATTTAGAAGAAATAATGTTAGTGGCTTTGACAGCGAGGAAACTTAATTTTGATGACTGTAAACCGGGAGGGGTGCATGAGGAGCACGCAGTAACATCTGAGAACTTGGGTACCATCTCAGCACTTGCTTGGAGACAGAAAATCAAGAAACCCTGCGTCAAATGGCCGATCGCAGGAACTTCTGGTTTCATACTGACATCTAGCGAGCAGTTCGGCAGATGAACGTACAAGAAATACCCCTTAACGTTTCCCTAACATATGTGCTGTTGTATTGTTGTTATAAGAATTAAAAGCCACATGTATTACTATACAGGTAGCTGAGTTACACTTCAAGGAAGCGGCCTCCGTAGTCTAGGGGTAACGTTCCTACCTCATGACTCAAGGTACGCGGGTTCAAACGCGGCGGAAGTTGTGGAATTTTTAAAGGGCGGAAAAATTCAGGGAACAAGTCCTCCGGGAGGGACTTTAATCCGTGTGTCCCGTGTTGTAGATTTACGGCACGTAAAAGAACCTCATGTCTTTAGGAGACCTCTGAGCTAAATTACAGGCCCTTTCCCGCCCAAGTAGTCTCTAATGCCTCTAGTGGATGGGGGAAGCATCAAGGTACCGGGGGCCGACCTCGTTGGCTCTACGGGGGCTGATGGCACGCACCGTTACCGGTAGGGTATGGCGACAGTAGAAAATAAAAGGGAGACAATGAACCAATAACTGGTCTAAGTGCATGGGGAAACCCACCCCCTCCCATAATACATACATACATACACTTCAAGGAAAACATCACACTGGTTACTGACATTTATGTAACACATCAAAAATACAACAATACGTGTTAAGGCTGTTCCATTGCTTTCCGTGTCACTTCATCACACATAGAAAATCTGAACCCGTTGTCCTAGTACAAGTCAGCACATCATTTGCGCCCTCAGCTTGTTCCAGGATAGCGATCAGCTTGAGAAGCAGCCCCCCCCCCCTGGCTCAGTCATTCTTGGTATCGGTCCCCGTCAGAACCCATGAACATATTTTTGTTCTTTCCAAACTTTCGCTTGTTTTGCAATGGGGCATCCTCTTCGACGAGAGGAGTAGTGTGACTGCTACTGGTCACTCCTCCTCTACTTGGGAGTGACTCTGTTGGGTCTCCGAGAAGCTGCAGTCAGTGGAGTTGCTTCTCGGCGTCGGCCGGCCGGGTTGCACCTGGAAGAGGGAACTTCTGGTGTTGGAGCTACGGGCTGTCTCTGCAACAATGGAGGTTAATTAAATATCACCGTACACTGTCGCCATGAAATATTTATTTTATTCTTAGGTCTATGCAGTTGGAGTTCAATGCAAAACGTCAGCTTCCGGGAAAATTGAGCTTTTCTCATATCAGCAAAACACTGCAATTTTCATCTTCAAGGTTAACGTCTGTGGGTGAATAATTCGTATTTGTCATTAGATTCAGGTTTTACAGCAGCTGTATTCATATCTCTTTGACATTTTACGAGAAAGTATTTGGAGTTGCGGCAGTGTTGCCAAGTTGTCGTTCCTCGTACGTTTGTAGCGGTGTTAGGAAACATATCGGAACGATGTAGGAAATAGAACTGATCCATTTCGTAATAACAAATAAAATATGAACATGTAACATATGTAAACAGCAACATAACGTTGCAATGTTATTTTTTTCTTATTTTCTAATCCAGACGAACAACTAATGCCACGTTGTCGTCATCGCGAACTTCCCCAGCGCTGATGTCATCAGTTTTCTCGTCTATTGTCTCACTGCCTTCTAAATTGATGGCGACCGGGTCTAGAATGTCTTCACGTCCTACTTCTGTGGTTTTACAGCGAGATCCGTATAACAGGCCCAGTTTTCCTGCGTTACGTTCTCAGGTTCAGCGTTGTCCAGTCTCTCCACATCTGAAATAATGAATTATTTGTTCCCCCTTGCAACTTTCCTTTTCACTTGATCCCACAGAAGTTCAGTGCAGTTATAATGAGTGATATGCAGAGAGTCACACGAACTGATGTCCCCTTTCATTGGCCAGTAGGTTACTTTCCTGTTGTTTCGTATTTTTCTCTAAGAGGAGCACCCGTTGCAAAGGTTCAAACTGTGTTCCAAGGGGACAGAAATAAATTCCATTCTGTTGTAACCACTGATTATTTCTTATTTTCTGTTGCAGTTGTTGGGCAGTTTGTTTATTGTAACCAAAAGCTAGTTTACACTGACCATAATCATTACACCGCCCTCCTCTCAAAAGTTAACAAAAAGTGTTTACAAAAACGTAAAGCTATCCCTGTAACAGGCCGCCGAGGCCCATGGGGTTGTGATACGTCGAGGTTCCCACATTTTCTTGACAATCAGCTCACAGATGGCGGTGAGGTTGTTAGTCCTAGGAACCGGCCACACTTTACCCCCCCAGGAAGTTTCCTGGTACTCATTTCTGTTAGAGGCTGAGTCGACCCCAGGGCCATAATGAAGCTGGAAGGATTAGGTCAACTGAAAGATAATGACGTCATCGCGAAACGAACCCGCGACTTAGCAAATTTAATTATGATGCTGCCTCCAACTTCAGGATGAACGTGCTCTGTGTATATAACCATGAAGGTTCAGGTAGCATATTTCACTGTAACAAGACTATACGGTGTAACAACCCCAAAGACCATAATCTGTAAACTGTTCTTGTCTGTGCACTCTTTCCAAAACATGTGATATACGAAAACGAAGAAAAGTTATTTCTCGACATATCTTCCACAACATTGATACACTTGTCCCATCGCTTTACCCTTGTTTGTAAACCCTCAGCATAGAAGTCTGCTTGTCTGTTGTCTCAGCCACTTCTGCACCTCCGTTTCAGCCTCTTCGTCACCAGGGAGAAATTTGTTACCCAAATGTGAACCGCTTTACGATAAACACTTCCCACCGTAAACAGGAAACATTTCTCTACGAATATTCTTTACATTGAGTCTTCTACCCACAAGAAAAGAATGCACAACAGAACGCTGCTCTTCGGTGGTTCGCTCCTCAAGCACGGTCGCCATTTTGGCTACTGAAACCAGCCCCTGAACATGTGCATGCGAGTCTGCTATTTAGATTGTCACGAAGTTGAACTGCGCTAGTGCCTAGTGATACATATAGAAAACCTATGAAGTCTATTAGGGCCGTTTTACTTCAATTTGTGGCTTGTTTACTGACTCTCCGACGCATTATGCACTTACGTCATTCGCTTCAAAACAAGAAAGAGGCACACATGGACATCTCAAAAGCTTAATTCTATCCCTTCAGAAGAGCATGATAAAAACATAATTCTGTTCTGAACGTGACTGAACCCAGCCCACCTTCCTTGTGCTTCTGGTGTGACTTCCCTTACCTGATGCTGGAGTCGACTAGTGGGGCTCTCCATGGCGGCAATTTGATCCTTCAGTTGCGCGATGCTGCACTTTATAGCTGCTAATTCCTTGTCTCGAAGCTCCAGTTCTTTAACCCAATTGGGATCATCGATCTGTTCATACAGAAAACACATCGCGTCATGCAGTGAACGACTTGATCACACAGAGAACACACCGCGTCATGCGGTGATCTATGTGTTCACCCAGACAACACACAGCGTCATGCGGTGATCTATGTGTTCACCCAGACAACTCATCGCGTCATGAGGTGATCTATGTGTTCACCCAGACAACACATCGCGTCATGCGATGATCTATGTGTTCACCCAGACAATTCATCGCGTCATGCGGTGATCTGTCTGTTCACACATAGTACACATCGCCTCATGCGGTGAAATTTGTCTTTATCGACCTATGTGTTGCGAGGTGTAGGATACTTTTCCAAAGGCCTCCACTCACATAAAATTGACGTCACTTGATTCATACGGAATGACAAACGAGGGGCTTTAGACAGAGTCTTGGTGGCATTATCATTTCATCGAGTATGGAGAAAAGTTGGTACTTTATTCAAAATGAACAGTACTGGGAATTTGATCTCTCTGTTTGGATTGCAGATGGAGATTCGAACCAAGCAGTTCTGGAGCGTTACCTCTAGATGACATTGCTTGGTTCGACAGGAGCAGGGCTTACACGGCATGCAACGATACAGAAGCTGCGAAGTGGGAGGAATAAAAAAATAAGAATATTCAGTGCAATGGGTTTTCCTTCCGACTTAAAATAGGACAGAAATAATCTCGCGGGCACGTGGCCCAGCCTCGCGGACCACAGTTGGGGAACAGAATTCGACACTGAGTTCAACCTCAAGAGGCTGGTGCAACCGAACCGAAGGGACACGCTGCAATTCGTTGCCAGGTTCACAGAAGAAGGCCGTTGATATTATCAAGACATGGGCCATGTCGATATTAACACTCCTTCGGTTTGTATCGATAGAAAGGTGTGCGACAATTTATGGGGTCTTACGGCAACAGAGCTACATAAATGACCTGTCAGATTCAGAAAAGTGCATCACAGAATTATCATCACTGAAAGGGTCAAATGATAGTCGGTCTGTGCTTCTGAGCACAGTACTTTCCATTCACTGACACAATGACACATTTCTACATAAAGTTCTTACTTCTTCTGAAAACCGACGTTTCTGCGACTCCACGAAATTATTCCAGCACACCTATCGAATGAACAGTCAGCAGCGCTGACGGCTGACCTGTTTGCAGGAGAAGGAATGATTTCTAATTCATTATCATTGTGGTTGAGGTTGTTGTGGCTTACTTACTTACCTCTTGGTTCCGTGGTCCTCCGAGTCCCTTGGCCTTCTTTATGACAAATACTCCAAGGTTTTCATTCAGCTCTCGTGAATCATTCTGTACCTCTTCCAACCATCTCGATCTGAGCCTTCCCACCTTTGTCCTACCATCAGTCTTACTTTCAAAATATTCCTAGAGTGATGCATTCAAATCACACGCCCCAACGTCTTCAACCCTCCATTTTTAACTTCTGCTTCTAAATCTGGGGGTTTATATAATCCCCTCATCTCTTGGTTAGTCCACGAAAGTATTATCTGAACAAAAGTTGCACGTTTTTCTCTTCAAGAGGCTCCAGTGTAAGGCCCACCTCCTAAGTTCTCAGACCTGCCATTTTATTACTGACTGAAGTATAACAAAAGATGATGCGTTGGATTGGCCTCTAACAGCATAACGTTTGCACCAAGTTTCGTTTAAAACAGTCAAACGGTTCGAAAGAAGAAACGGACAGCATAGTCGAGTCATAAGCCTACTTTCTTGCCTGAAGGAAAGCATTATGAGGAATGAATGTGACAGTGCAGCCTGCCTCATCTGACAGTTGTGGTCTCATTGTCTCACCTGATGCTGGAATTCGCTCTTCTTATACTCGCTGCAGACAACGTGAGCCCGCAGCAGCGCGATGTAAGTCTTCTGTTGATCTATCTCTTTACGGTGCTTATCCAAGTCCATTTCTTGCTTGGCGCAGATCTCCTCTGTCTCAGCGCGGAGCCTCCTTTCCTCAGTCAACGTCGACTTGACCTGTTCCCGCAGAGAGCAGAATACAACATAATGCCGAGAACTTAGTGCTTCACTCCCCGAAAATTTTCAACGTGGGGGTTGCATCTTTAAAAACACTCTTATTTTACCTTGCCTTTCTCTAGCCTAAAATCACCCCCACTTTCACGTGGTTCACCCTGGTGCGACAGACGACACTCTGGAGACAGAGTCATGGTTGGTTATTCCGTCAAATGTTGAGGAAATTTTGTACCTAATTCAACAAGATCGAGTCACGGGATTTAATCACTGCATCTGGATTGCAGATTAAGATGCGAGCCAAGCACATCACCGCTACATCAGATTGCTCGGTTCAGCACGGTACCGTGGCCCATTTGACCAGAAAATAAATATGCACCGAGAGGGCTTACACGGCATGCGACAATACAAAATTCGAAGAAAGTGGCTTTCGATTGATATGACCTAGAACAGTGGTTCTGAAACTACGAGGGAGTCAGTAAACAGGTCACAAATGGAAGTAAATCAGTTTTCGTGGACGTCGTAGTTTTTCTATGTATATCACTAGGTAGCAGCACAGTACAGATTCACTACCAGGAAACGTCTACTGCAAACTTCGTAGAGAAACAATCAATGTTAAGAGTTATTACCAAGCAACGAATAGTGAAAGTGGTATTAGAATATAATAATAATTATTTTTTGCTGATTTCTTTCGATTTTTATATATAAAAGTGATCAACAATTAAAGTGCGGTTTTCGAGCAAGAATAATACGTGCTTCTGAGCGTGGAGGTAGATACAATGGAAGAAGGAGAAATCAATTACGTAGCTGGGGAAGAAGTGGTGGTGGGAAACATGGGCTATGCAAAGGTAAAGAAGAGGTTTGCGGGAGAAACAGATGAGGAACTGAGGGCACAATTTAGCACTGTACTGGGCCGTAAAAGCCACAGAAATCTACAGATTAGGAACTTGGCCACATAAATAAGTTCTGTATGAAGGAAAAACAATGGTTCTCGTGCTGAAATGCAAAACATGAAGGGTCTCGCATTAAATGTTCCTAAATTGTAATGGTAATCACGGTGCAAACAACAAGCAATATCCAGTAATTAAAAACATAAGGAAATCAACCAACTCATGGCTCATAGAAATGTCGGATTTTTGGAAGCATGCAAAATTGTAGAAAAATGGTCACAACCTTGGCGGTCGGACCCTGAATTCTCTTCAGGTGCTGAAAGCCTCCGAGGGAGCGCTCAACATAATATGAGGGACTTCCCCATTCTCAAAACGCCAAGAGGACGAAGGGTGTGGGATAACGCAGAGAAAATTGAAAGCAATAAAGTCCCGGGCCAACAGATCAAACGAAACGCGCGGAGAGGGTCATGGAAGATGACCACGGCAGCAGCAGGACTCAAATATCTGAACCAAGTGCAAAAAAAAAAAAAGAAAGAAAGAAAGAAAGAAAAAAAAAAAGAAAAGACCAAACATATTTAGAGAAATCTTCAGAGGAGCCCATTCAGATGGAGGACAAAGTCAAGAACGTAATGGTGACGACAATCAACTTAGTGATAAACTTCGGGGACGCTAAAGCAATGGTAAGACACCTGTGGAAAGCCGTCAAGCTTCATGAGCAACATTGTAACAAAACTGAACAGGAATCAAACAACTGAGACTGCGCAATGGCACTGCAGAAGCTTAAGAAACAACCTCTGTTACCTATTTATGGTGGAAGTGTTTGTCGGGTAAAGCGGTTCACATCTGGGTAGACAACAGTCAAACACTTCTATGCTGCAGGTTTCGAAACACTGCTAAAGTGATGAGACAAGTGTATCAACGTTGGTGGAGGATATGTCGAGAAACAATTCTTTTTCTGAATATCACATGCTTTACGTTTTATATCCATTTGTGATCTGTTTACCTGCACACTTGTGGAGCACCACATTTAAATTGTCTGCATATCAACTTAAGAGAGGTAAAAAAAAAAAAAATTCAAGATAATCAAATTTGGTAAAGCGTTGAAAATATTCAGTGCAATAGTTTTCCCATAGAAGGACAAGAAATCTCGAGGATAACAGTTGGGGAACCGCTGAGTTCACATTCGAGAGGCTGGCATACCCGCCATATTACTGCTGACTGAAGTATATCAAAACAGACTGCGTTTGGTTGGCCTTTAACAGCATGACGTCCGCACCAAGTTTCGTTTAAAACAGTCAATTGGTTCGAAAGAAGAAACGGACAGCATAGTCGAGTCATAAGCCTACTTTCTTGCCTGAAGGAAAGCATTATGAGGAATGAATGTGACAGTCCAGCCTACCTCACCTCGTGTAATTCATCCAGGTCTTCACGGAGTTTCGCATTCTTCCTGACCTCGTCACTCAGATTATCCTGCAGAATGTTGATGAGGCGTGTAAGACGACCGATCTCACGTTCAGCGTCTTCTTCCCACAGACGGTGCCTGTTCCGTTCCAGATCTGCATCGTACCTCTCGTCTACCTGTTCACACAGACAACACATCGTGCCCTATTGTGATCCCTTGTACTTTTCTTAACGCAAGTATCCGGTTTGCAGGATGTAGGAGATGTTTTCTGGTCAACCCGCTGTGTAGCAGTTCACATCAAAGGAGAGAATGAGTTATTTTTATTGACTTTGTTTAGCAGGAACGAGAGTACTTTTAAGAGTGATTACTGGTACATTAATGAGGAGCGTTAGCATCACATTTCGCCTAAGAATGGGCAACGTGTCAGTATGCATTATGTTACAAGGCAAACTGCCGTGCCGAATTGAGGAAACATTTGAGACTTAGGAACAGCGCGGCTTCATTTTGTTAAGAGCAGAGGGGGCAGGTTTTCGCGCTCGTAAACGAACTGTGGGAAGGTCCAGGATGAACGCTCTCAGAAGTATCCATTTTGCTCATGTCCCCCACCCCATAAGGGGGACAGAATTTTTAAAGTCTAGAATCGCTTCAAGTTTTTTGTTTAATTCGAAGATGTAAAAATTACGGCACCTCATGAATTTTGAACAAGCGCAATTATAATCCAGAGCAGGACGTACCACTTTTGTGCTTCCCAGATCTGAGAGACAACGCGTCTCAAACCCCCGGTTTGGAGGGGCATCATTTAAGACATCGCCGTCATGTAAGGACGTGCTACTCAGCCGTTCTAATACAAATTCAAAATTACTTAACCTTTAGAATTTCCAACATGTTGCCTTCATTAATCAGGTCACCGTGACTAACCATTTGGGATGTTTCATAATTTACCAGGGGAAAACTAACTAGAAAATGCATGGAAGCTCATAGCATTAAGTAAGTAAGTAAGTAAGTAAGTATGTAAGAACTTCGGTATGTGGTCGTGAAACTGCCAATAAATATTCTAACAGAAACAATCTGTTTATTGCGTGCTACAGTGCAGCGTGAAGATGTGGCTATTCTCCTACCCAAGTCTGGCCTGTTACTGAGTTACTCCTCCCATGAATTTAGAGCTGAGAAGCTGGAATCGCCCTTTGGGAGACTACTGGCGCCCAAGCAAAAGTCTGGAAATGAGCAGCTGGCCACAGTTTCCATTTCTAGAACACTGTACAATCCCGATCCATCACAAAAACTATGGGACCCATCTCAAATTCCCACGAACAGAATAACGTCCGGTGTGAAGGAAAATTTACTGCCTAATTCAGGACGCCAAAATCATGGAATTTAACCGCTACATCTCCTTTACAGGAAAAATGACAACCGAAATTTGGGTGAAATTAGTTGAAATTCGGGTACAATTAGTTCAATTTTAGGAGCGTTCGGAGCCATGCGAAGCGCCGATTACGGTCATTAAGTCCGTTCGTCTGTACGTATGGAGAAATTTAAGAAATTAAAAGGATTTTTTTTTTAGAAATACGATATTGGGAAATATTGCTATAATATGTCGAAACATTTCAAATTTAGCTGAAATCGGACAAACAATGGGCACTTCACGCGAAGATCTAAACGCATTTTTGCAGGTATTAGGGGCGTAACTCGTGATATTAGCCTTTAAGTGACGGGACATTTAAATTCCGGTAGTGGTAGCGGGACGGAGTTAATTTAAATGCCCGCCACTGTAGAGTAATAAAAATTGTAATCACGTTACTCAAAATGCTGTGATTTCTACAATTTTTGTGATAAACGAACGAAATAAACGCTGCTTTTATCTAGAAAGAAAATAGAATCAGATACTGTATTTTACAGATTTTAGAATCTGTAAAAATTTTTGCACTGATTTAAAAAAAAATCCCAATTTTGAATATCTGTCCACAAAAATGCAGAAAGTTTCTGCACAAAACGTTACTGCAGTATAAATGCATGCTGATGACATCCTCTCTTCCTGTGTCTCATCCTTCAAAGGGGGAGGAAGGTAATGTTTGTCCTGCACATTCTCCAGTCACGTCGTAACCTTTCTACTACTGCACGAGTGGGAGCAAGTCTTGTCGTAATTTATACTTCTGAAACATTGCCTCTTTATATCTCGGGCTAGCCACACAGAGCGGCCTCTCAATCTCATCTTCTTCCATGCAAAAAGGAGCTATGTTGGATAGTTCAAATTGCGATGTTTTATAAGCGTTATGATTCTGTTTACATTTCGGACTAACCAAACAGAGGTACTGTTATCAGCATAGCCATGCACTACCAGAACGTTCTAGCCTAGCGCGTTGTGTTGTGAATAAAACATCGCAATTTGAACCAGCCAGCATGGCCTCGTTTCACTTAGAAGAAGACGAAATTGAGAAGCAGCTGATTATTGACACTGATTCAGACTGCAGTACAGAATATTCTGATAGTGGCGAGGAAACAACCCATCATCTTCGTCGGCAACCTGGGGACCACCACACCAGCATGGCAGGAGGCGTGTGAATAATTATTCCGGTGGAGCTGTGGGGTTAAATATTAAGGCAGTAATTGTGACATTGTGAATTATGTGTGGATAAAAGTGTGCAATAAATTCGCTAGATTCCAGACCGGCGTGAAGTTACTTGTCACGACACACAGCAAACTCGTGAAAATATTAATAGTATACTCGTAGAGTTAAGAAATATATTCAAAACTCGCGGGGCGGCCACTATGATAGAATAAGATGTTTATAAGAATGTGCTACATAGTGCCGGATGGGCAATGCTTAAGCCTTTTTTTTTGTACATACATTAATTTTTTTAAACTAAAAAGCCTAGGTAGTCGAAGCACCTTCGCATTTTCAGAGGCTGCTTTCAGCAGTCAAGATGGCTGCCGTGATGGAGGGGCGTACTACCGAAGATTAGTGTTCTGTTGTACGTTTTCTGTGGGCCAAAGGACTCAGTTAAAAGTATATTCATAAAGAAATGTTTCCTGTTTACGGTAGGAAGTGTTTGCCGCGTAAAGAAGTTCACAACTGGTTCGAGAAATTCTCACAAGGATATTCGAAATTCGCAGATGATATCCGACCGGGTGAGGAAGTGGCTGAAACAACAGTCAAAAGACTTCCATGTTGCGGGTATCGACGCGCTGGCAAAGCGAAGGGACAAATGTATAAATGTTGGTGGAAGATATGTCGAGGTTCGAATATCGTATGCTTTACGTTTTATATCCACTTGTGACCTATTTACTGACTCACCTTCCTAAAATTAAATCCAGTAATTAAAATTTAACATGTTCGGTAAGTATATAATATTTGCACTGTAAATGAACATTAAGAGTTTGTTCAAAATACATAACTAGCCTGATTAAGGTCTTATAGAGGTCGAAACATGTACGACGGTTGGAACTTTAATAGTGGCAACACTGCTGTAGAGACGCCATGCAACAGAACCAAATAATGTCACATACCACACGTTAGTTACATACCTACCTTACCTCAGAGCAAATGGACTCTCCCTTCCCACATCACGCACATGCGCAGTGACGAGAAGAACAGGGCCTCGTGTTAGATGGCGGTCTAATGTAGTGTTGTCACGATGTTTTCGAAACAGGAACAACGGAGTTGGATAAAGATTGAATGTGCCAGAGGCCGTACAGCACGACAGTGTCATAATGTGGCAGGCATGCGTCAGCCAGCTCGTCCTAGTATCAGTGAAAAAATGTATGCTCTCTCCGCGTTACTGGGGAATGATCGGCGCCATACGATTCGTGAGCTGGCCCGAGAGACAGGATTAGCGCATACGGCTGTGCTTCACATTCTGAAGGACCGCCTGTGCATGAGAAAAACTGCATCACGTTGGGTTCCGCATGATTTGACGGAAATGCAGAAATGGCTGCCATACTACGCCGCTCGTAACCACTTGGAGCGCTATGAGCGCGAAGGAGAGGCTTTCTTACGCTGGATGAGACATTGGCAAAATCGTACGAGCCACAAATGAAACGCCAATGGCGTCATTACGGGTCACCACGAAAATCAGAAGTTCGTCAGAACACCAGCAATATGAAAGTTATGGTGATTCTCGTGTACGACTGTGATGGTGTTATCCTAACGCATACCGTTCCCCGTCAGCAGACCGTCGATGCGCAGTATTACTGTTCATTTTTGGAAAGCAACCTGCGACCAGCTTTGAGAAAGAACCGGCGACACTTTTGCAGAACCCACCCATCATTTTGCAGGACAATGCTCGGTCCCATGCAGCGCAAGCTGTGGCTCATTTGTTCGATCGATGGGGCTGGGAAGTGCTGTACCATCCACCATACTCCCCAGAATTAAGCCCTTGTGACTTCTACTTGATTCCTAAGATGAAGGAACCACTTCGTGGCATTCGCTTCAGAACTGTTCCAATGATTCTTCAGGCAGCAGACCGCTCCATTCGAACTATCAACACAACAGGCGCTGCTAAAGGTATTCTACGACTTCCACATCGCTGGCAACGGGTTGTACACAATGCTGGTGACTACATTGAAGGACAGTAAAACTTCGAAACACGCATCTATTTTGTATCAGTTGTAATACATAGTTGCCACTATTAAAGTTCCAACTCTCGTAGCTTAGAAGAAACAAGTACTCTAACTTGCGTAACGTGTAACGAATTGTATATAAATATTGGCAACGAGAGATGGTACATATACATACCACTCTATTATAATGCTTGGGAAGAGACGGACATTTAAAATCTACAGTCCTCTCAACTTGCTTACCTCCACATCTCCAGGACGCGCTCTATGAAACTCCAGACAAGATAACAATTTTCCCATCTCTAATAAATTCAATTCATTAACTCGGTTTCCTTAAGAAAATGTCTGCCTGCTACAATGTGAACCTTCTTTATGTACAGACAAATAAATCTGCATCCAGGTAACGGCGCAACAATACACGAGAGAGGTAGCAGATGACTGACTGGTTGCAGTATTGTTGAGTCTTATGTCACGTAGCAACGTGCTGTTTCCAACGATAGCGACCGACTAATTTGGACTGAAGAAAACGCTCTAGAATTACATTCGGAGTTTCTCTGTTCCATTCTCGGCTGGAACATCTGAAATTCCTTAGTTCATTCAGGTAAATTCCGGGACAGCACCCGGGCCAAGGCAAGACGAAATC